TATATAAAAATCACTAGGAGGCCGGGGGGTTACTGGCAGATGCAAAATCTCTTTTGTCAAAACAAAATTCTTCCTCTTTGCCCCAGAAATATATTTACTGTATGGCACATGAGCCTTGCAGTGTACACACTCATCCCCTATGCCGGAGAGCATAGAACTCCTGTGAGCATGTGCAGGAGTTACATCATCAGTGGCCACCCAATGGCTGAAGAGGACTTCTGAGGACCTGGAAGTGTTGGTGGCTGAGATGGAGGAAGCAGGGGACAGAGCCGAGGACGAAAGATCAATCCAACAGCACTAGATAAGGGCACACTTGTAAGGTAAGCATACTTCCCCCATTAGGGCAAAACCAAAAAATGTACAAAGTGGTTTACGTCCGCTTTAAGTGTCTTCCTGTACTTGTTTTCACTGAAGTTCATATCTTCAGTTCATATCACCGAAGTTCATTATAATTCACATCGGTGACTTACAAAAATGCATTAAAAAAAGAATGCCTTCACTCTGAAAGCACCTCTCCCAAAATGGGGATACGTTTGTTTAGGAACCAAGGGCCAGATATTTTTCTAGGATCATCAAAAAGCATTTCTAGAGCAAGGACAATTTTCAGGGAAACAATTTCAAATAACATCCATTCTAATGTAATTCCTTTCTAAAATTGGGGTTTATAACTTGATAAGTGATCATAACCCTGTGACAGGTAGGTTGTATAAACCACACAATGACCAAGGATAGTAAGGGTGTACAATGGAAAGGAAGGAGTATAAACAGGATAACAAGGAAGGGTTGGTAAGAACAGAACAGCATGTACAATCTGGAAGGAAGGGGATAGAAAGTGTGTGAAATTCATTGGCCTGTTACCGTTACCAAGCAAGGATCAGCGTACAAATCAGCAGGCAGACCATGTACACTAGACATCGGCCAAGGGTGGGTAACAGCAAAGCAATCATTGTGAGTGCGGTTTGGTGGAGATGTAAACCAGATGATATCCAATGGTGGCCAGCAGGAGTTAGTAACAGTAGGGCAGTTACTCTGTAGAATATATTAAGCAGGGAGACAAGAACTCTGCATGCAAATTGAGGATTTTTCTGAAAACACATTAGACTTCACTGGCAGTGAGAGAACATAAAAGGTAGACGCCATGGAACTTCTACATATGTATGTCTTGTCCCTGCACTTGCTTCCTGAGCTACAGCCATTTTTCTATTATTGTGGATGGAAGGGACTTCCACGGTAAGTGTTCTAGCCGACTGTAATGTTTGTGTTGCTGAGCCCAGCGTAAAGTGAACCGGTCACAAACACTGGGCAACCAAAACTGAGCATGTGATGAAACCATGCATAAGCAGAAATGACCTTTCCGGAAAACTGTTGGTTATAGTACATAAAGACATACAGGCAGCTAAACCTATATACGTTTCATGGCTTTTTAGACTCCCTATAGGTAGATGATATCTCTCAGCATTACAAATGGACCAATGAGGAGGTGCTTAAAATAGCACCTCCTCAAAATGTGCTTCACCACTTATACACTTACACCTTTCTCTTAGTCTCTCCTCAAAGTTCCACCAATACCTGTTGGTCCTGCCAGTGAAGTCCACCTAATGCAGCTCCCTGTGATGGGAGGACAATGAATTCAGGGCAGAGCTGTCACTCTCATGCGGCTATGAAAAAATGTTGCAGGGGGCGTGGCTATCAGCCTTGTCACTGCTGATTCACTATCCTGTAGCTTGCCAATCAGTACATGGCCACACCTAGTCCTGCCCACTGCTTACTGAATTGACAGTGCTGCCCGTCATTGAATTCTTACCACTGGGAGCTGCAGTGTCTAGGAGGGGGAGCATGTGAGATACAATTGAAGGAGAATTTCTCTAAGACAGGGAAGGAACGGAAGGTTTTGTTTACTTCATGACATTTGTACATCGCATAGTACTTAGTGAAAACTGTCTAATGGGGAGTTTCTGTCCAAATTGGAGAGATTTCCTCATACTTTGTTGTATCATCAGGACATGAAGTGAAGGGAAATTTCCCCAACAAACAGCAAAAATAAACAAAAACTTTTAACCCCTTCCTACTTCATCCAAAACAAAAATGTATTGGCCATCTATCCACTTAACACATCTTAACACATCTAATACATCTAATACATCTTTTAACACCATTTTTATTGGGCTTCCAATACTAATATTCAGGAGCCCTCACCATTCCCATACACAAGCATTATTTAATCTTACTTTCTTAACATCAAACGTTTCAAAAATACTGAGCAGATGTTCTAGAAGCCCTTAATACTGTTAAGTACTATATCTGAAGTGTTCATCGCAGACTGTCATGGAAATCCTGGCTGTAGCTTTTAAAGAGCTTTTAGCAGTCTGACAACCTTCAGCATGACTTGAAGCCTTTTAAAAGGTTGCCTAAAGCTACAGCCAGCACTACAATTCAATCTGTGTTCAAGACTGCATGGTTTGGCTAGGTGACCAGAGGTTCTAGCCTTCCAGTGGATATTAAAGCAGTATGGATGTACCAGGTGCCCAGCAGAGGGAGTTTATTGCCTGGACACATGAACAAAATCTCTAGTCACACCCCCATATGTGCTTACATGATCGTGTGACAAGTCACAGACTACCACAAAAGCACTGCCATTAGGAGGAATTCCCACTCTGCCTGATTCATTTATTTTAGATTTTGGAGAATGCAAAGGTGCTGGAATGTGAAAGTTGGACAGGAACCACCAAAACTTGGCAATTATGGCAGGAACTCCTAAGATGAAAGGAGGGTAACTAAGACCCGGGTTCCACCTCTGACTAGCATATCTCTTTTATGTAGACTGAACCTTTAATAGTGTATCGGTACTCACATAACTTCCTCCTTGGTGAATCTTCTGCCAGACATGATGGCTTCAGCCACTTGTGATACAACAGGGTCAAAGTTCATGCTTGATACTGCAACCACAATATCTTCCCTAGAGGAGGTAAGAAAACAAAAAAGAATTAAAGGATATGCAATCTGTTCTAATAATACCAATGTTCCAAACATAACAGTCTATAATGTTACACAAATAACAGTTCATGGGGGTATATTATCAATTACACACGGGGACTGGAAATTCGTATAGTGGATGGCCAGCTTAAGAGGTAAAAAATTACCGGTTAGTGTTGCACATAATTTACCAGGAAGGCACTTAAAAGGAGAACTATGAGGTAAGTGTTTTTCCCCGTAGTTCTCCTAAGGGTCACAGGAGGACATAATCTAGCGTCCTCCCGTGACCTAAAGCTCAGTATAATCGCGAGCTACAGCTCACGGTATACCGAGACCGCCGCAGCTGGGACGGATCCTGACATTACTGTCGAGATCCGCCCAGCTGCGTGATTGACAGCTGGCTCTGCCTATCTAGAGGCAGAGCCAGCTGTACCCGCCCCCTCCCCCGTCCGTTCCGCCAGTCAGCGCTGGAGGATCGAAGCGGGGAGGGGGGAATCCCTGCAGGGAGCCGTGAGTGACAGTCATGGCTCTCTGCAGGGACAGGATCGAGAAGTGAGCAAGTGACGGTATGTGTTCGCTCACCTCCCGATCTACTGAGCCGACCTGTGACAGTTTCATTGTCACACGTCGGCTCGAACTATGAGGTAGAGTCAAAGTCACTCACCTCATAGTTCTCCTTTAACATATCTGATGCTAGGTCCACTTTAAGGGAGAACATGAAAAGCTTTGCAGGCCGGGCACGTTCAGGTTTTAAATGTCATGAAGGTTTTAGTAGGGGGTTTGGGGAAATCTATTGCTAACCCTTTTAAAAAATTTATTTTTTTGTACGGTATATTTTGGAAATACCCATCTGCTTACTTCAGATAAAAAGCCAGGAACGTCATCTCTTCCGGGGTCCCTTTCATAACGATTTCTGTATAACCCTCACCGAATCCTGGTAAGAAAAAAAGAGTACAGGATGAGCCTGGAATGGAACGAGCAGTGCCCAGCAGTGAAGTCCTTGTCCTTAGTCATGTGTTGATGAAGGTAACATTGTAGGCCTTACTAATGTGTGATTTCCACTCTAACATATCCCTCCTAATCCTGCCATGAAACGTTTAATATGATGCATATGCTAAAGATGACGTGCAATCCCATTTTATAATCCTCTGATCCCTTTCATCCTGTACAAATCTAAGAAATAGAATGATACAATGATATATGCTACTGCAGTGTATGACAGCAATCCTAGCAGCATCTAGACAGCCAGGTAGAAGATTACGTGTATTTGATACTACTGCTAGATTCATTGCAAAAACATAGGGAATGATTTATAATTCATCTGCCCAGACATGTGCTGGCTGAATACCGTTTGCCCAGCATTTTCACCACTTGATAGAGCCAATAAGGACTGGAAATTCCTATCCTCCTCAGCTCCATCTAGTGAAGAGAATGCTGTGCAAATCAGCCAGCATATGTCCACTAGATGGAGCCGAGGAGCACAAGAAATTCATATGCTCGCTGACTCCACCTAGTGGCGAGTATAGTGTATGAACGGCATTCAGCCAGCTTATGTGTGTGTGAATGATTTATAAATTAATAATACGAAATCACCTGCACTCCATACAGCGTACAGACCTTGGATGAGAGGTTGGTGCTTGAAGTGACAACACGGATGGCGCCGTGTCAGATACAGTCCATAATAGAAGTCACCAGCACTCGATATGTGCAAAAAGTAAAGCACTTTTTATTCAATCGTCACATGCGTCAAACAGCCAACGTTTCGGGGCCACGCAGGGTCCCTTCTTCTGGGCGACATAGTGACATAATTCACACACTAGGTGCTTTCCCAAATAAGCACCTAGTGTGCGATAGGCGTCAAGGCTCCTATGTATTGTGCTTCCAATTTACATGATAAAGCTATTGGTCTAGCAGAGAGAAAAGTGGACCTGTTCTTTGGTCTTCAGTGAACCAGGTAATGTTCAGTCTGATTTGACTTTCCCAGCTTCTGAGCTGAGGCCTGCACATCTGCCATACCCCTACCCAGTGAGAGTACCTCCCTGGACACATGAGCACTCTTATTGAACAGTTTCCTGTCAGGTGGCTGGGCTTAGCCTACAAGTCAGGTCCCAATTAAAGAGGAGAACTAAAATCAGAGAGAGCTTTTAAGATCCTAATATGTACAATGCGTGCAAATGCTCTGCCATGAATGGATGATTCAAAGGTTTCATTTGTATATCACTGATTCCCCAAGGGCCCATTCAGAAAAGCAAAGTGTTTAGCGGGAACATGCGTACCGTATTACCATAACGCACTTTGTTTAATGTATGTTACGTGCGCTAGCACATTGCAGTGCTATTCATTTTCAATGGTACGCCAACTTGCTAACCCAACGCGCATCCTAGGCACATGCTCCATGCACTGCATTGAAAAAAATGGTGCATGTGCATTTTGGTCTGTTTTGGTGTGTTGCCAGCCCATACGAATGAATGAGCAGTCTTAATGCACATTACCATTTGCGCATCAATGGCAAAGTAGTGAAGAAAGTACCAGGATGACTGTGGAGCATACACCTTTAAAAACAAGTAAGCAGTGGCAGCTTCTATAGTTATATTTTAATGGGTCCCTTCCCTATGGTCGCCTAGTGGGAGATGCAGATATAGGACAGGTGCACACCTAGGAGTTTTGCACATTTTGTTTTGCGCGTTTTTGCTTTTACAAATGTCAATTTCTCCCTGCATAGAGATGTCTACGGGACCAAAACCGTGCGACATACTCCTAAAAAACTCCTAAAAAACTCCTAAAAAACTCCTGCATCTTTTCGCACGACAGGCACTTTCTTAGCAATGCTAAGGTGTGAACAGTCGCCATTGACTTCAGGTGTGACGCTCAGGTGTGATCCAGGCCTTACTGTGTGGTTGAAGAGAAAAGGCAGCCTTTCAGCCCAGCATCTGGTTGTCTGGCACCATGTGCTGTATAATACTGCTTCATTACTTTCTGCAGGCCCAAACCCTTGCATAGCAGAGGGGAGCAAAGCTTGCACCCAACAGCAAAAAGCAGACTTTGAATCTTTTACTTCAAACTAACTGCTGTTTTTGTGCCCTCTATATAATATAAAAATGTTAATGCTTTTCATCCAGTCTAAAACAAAAAATAAATAAATAATTCTGGATGGAGTGCGCAACAATAAAAGGCAGTTGTCAATCTGAGAAATAAAATGCGGCACACAAACCTGCATAACGAATGCTTTTCCCCAGCAGAGACGTCCAGAAGAATGGTACAGAGTTCACAGGTATGTGCTTGTTCAGCATATTCAGAGCAGCAATCCGGCCTGCAAGCAAAAGTTCACAGCTTCTGTATATTTTATGCACTGCGACTCCCTCCAATGATACACGAACTACTCAATTTAACTACATTTTATACATAATGAATGAGAAACATTTTTAAAACCTAGATAGCCACTGCTATCTAAATTAAAAGTGTGCAACAGTTCCAACACACAGCAAAGGAATGCAGCCAGTGGCTGGAGTTTTACTTTCATGAATGCCTACCTCGCAGTGGACATAGAACATGCATTCTCCCTCCATGTGCCTTTTTTTTTTTTTTTTTATTAAATAAAATACAGTAACAATGAAAAAGAAAAAAAACCCCAGTATAAATGAACATACCAAAAGAATTAAACAGCACAACCAAACAGCAAAAGAAAAATATTACATAGCGTATCAGGATGCCAGTCCTTCACAAAGCAATAGGTAATACTACCGAGAAGGGAGAAGTAAATGGGGATCCTGACAAAGGGGACAGTATATTGGATGGTTCTTCTGAAAGTTACAAATAGAAGGGGGCAAAGAAAAAAACAAAACAACATCCATGTGCCTTTCTTATTCAGTGCTTGTATTTTGAATGCAAACAATTTCTGGATATTTGTTCCCCTTTACAGAAAGCAAACATTAACCACATCGGTAGGATTCTAGTTTTAAATGTGGAAAGGAAATGCAAAGGAATTAAAAATGTGATGAGAATACTGGTTTGTATCAACCAGTAGAGAAGATGTGCTAGTCTAGTACTAGTTTTCTTCCTGCTTATAATCCGCCTCATACTGTGTGCATGTACCGCATCTTAGTGTGCTCACTACATTCAGGTAAAGCTTTACAATGTTCTACCCGTGTGTTTATTACAGGCAAGTGGGAGATCCTGTATATAATAATCATAATGAAGTATAGTCAATTCAATCATCACACAATGTTCAGACTCCTTGTATAACTGCTGGACAGCTTGGTATGGTACCATTCATGTAGCACTTCCATTAGCACTATGTGTTTTCAAGGAGTGCTGTGCAGTAGGGCCTGGAACCATAATAAAGCACTATGAGTTCTCTAGGACTGCTGGTCAGTAGGGAGCTATAATAGAGCAGTAGTTCCAGGCATTTTAGCTGCACACTTTGGCCATAAATGGAAAGCTTATTCTCCCAGGTGGATAGACCAGACAACAGTATTCAAAAACAGAGTTAGTATCAGAATGTGTTGTGTACAAATGGAGAAAGTAGAGATGTTGTGTTAGCAGGCTCGCTATATGAGAATTGTTACTTTGAGAAAAGTTTGTAACCATGTGCTTAGGTCTGCTGCAGTGAAGACTAACGGATGTATTTTTATGTGATGTCGGTTTGTTTCTAGTCTTCACTGCTCCATCGGAACTGTGATCCTTGCTATTGAAGGGGCACGATGCCGTTTTGTAGTTTTCACCTGTATGATATTAGCAATTTATTTCCAACTAAGTCAGTCACTTCGAGGGGTTACCTACTTAGGCATCATCTGTGAGAAGGACGTGATCCTTTCTATGGAAGGGGCGTGATGCTGTTTTGTAGTTTTCACCTATCTGGTATTAGGAATTTATTTCCAACTAAGTCAGTCACTTTGAGGGGTTAACTACTTAGACATCACCTGTGAGACAGACGTGATCCTTTCTATTGAAGGGGCATCAGAACACGACGGAACGCCATCAAAATGCATGCAAACGCAACTGAAATCCCATTTTAAGCAACCCCCCCCCAATCGTGATAAAATAGCGGCAAAAGGCATCGCACTGCAGCTGTGCAGACGTGTGCCATTTTGATGCAGTTCTGGTGTGAACTAGCCCTTAGAAACTTCACCTCTATGATGAAGCCCAGTAGGTAAAATGCGTTAGAGGGCGTTGGAGTGGGAGAGATACTATGGTGGTGTATACCTTATATTTTGAACCTCGCATTGAAAATACAATAATAAGTCGCGCGGATTTGTCGGCGCTGAACCGCCGACATGCACAATTCCATTGTATGAACGGTCCCCACAACCAAGTGCCTAAGCGCGATCCAAACCGCCTGCCGCCCAAAATTCTGCCTGGGCTACTTCTTTCGTGCTGATCAGCTTGCTTTTCATACAGATTTCAATGGAAATGCGCTGATCAGCACTGAAACACTTCCGCCGTGGTGTGAATGGGGCTACTTCTACTACTTCTTTCAGCAGGTCACAGATGTGGTCAGGTCACAGATGTGGTCAACTCTCTGGTTCTCTTCTTTGCGGCTTCTTTCCAGACCTCAGCACCTTTGGTCTCTAATCAAGTCTTTGACAACCCCTTCCCCTTGTAGCTGCTGCATAACTTCAGACAGGTCATCTTTATGGTACCAAAGTAAAAGGAGGTCACAAAACTGCTGCGCGAGTAATACAAACCATCTCCTTTATCCTTTGTAATGATACAAACATCACGTACTATCACATTGTACACAGTGGCAACAACAGGACCACTCTCTTTAGGCTGCTCTCTATCCACTGAAGATGAGAAACTCTCTACTCATCTCAACTACAGAGGAGGAACTTTTGAAAACCCTCAAAGTTTGGGAAGCAGTATTGTCATGTCTTTACATATGCACTACTCTATTTAGTGCTGCTTTTTTACTTTATAAAGATTCTCTCTCCGTTTGACCACCTCTCACTACAGCTACTCTGCACCACAGCACACTACTGACTTTGGTGTTTTCTCTTTGGTTCACCATCAAAATCCAAGAATCACAGAAAGAATAGGCCATACAACATTCCCTTAAGGACTTTCTAACATATACCTAAAATCTTACAAATGGTTTAAAATGTGTTTTGTTGTAGGTTTGCATCCTTAAACAGAAAAGGAATGACAATGGAACAAGGGGCAGCCTGCTTTGTGACCTTGGCTACCCTAGGTTAGGACTTAACAGGCTGGAAATAATTTCCCATGTATTTATTAACAAAAGGATATCAGGCCTTTTTCTATTCAGAGCGGGAAAGAGGAATGGGTGTTTGACATGGTTTGTTCCACAAAGCAACAGCAGCATGTAGAGAAAAAGTTATACTCTGGTTTGGTAAGGGTCTTTTCTCTTTTGCAACTACCTAATAATTATTCAGTCTGATGCTTTATATGCATTTTTATATTATTTGTGCCAAAAAAGTTTTATAAATGCTTTTTACTGAATTTTATATGTAATTAAAGTTTACACTTACAGAAAACCGAAACCTTTGCAGTGTCTTGTATTGTTTCAGGGTGGTATATATCAGGTTATCATAAAACTACCTAAAACAGTAGAAATTAGATATCCAGAGGAATACCAGAAACCAAATTACAGCCCATTTGCCCCAGATCTTTTTAAATTCTTAGGGTAATCTCTAGTATGGAAAGTTAACTATAGAAGGGTAAGCCTAAATCAACCAAGGCAATTCAATCTTCTAAGGCTGGTCCCCATATCTGTTTACACTTTAAAATATTTCTTTATCCTTTAATAAAAAAAAAAAAAGAGAAGTTAAATAAATATTTTGCAGTACTTGTTAAGGTCTTCTCATATTCCTTGGAGGCAACTCTTTGGGCAACATACAGTATATTAGAAAATGCAACGGGATGTTCAATAAATGTAATGACTTTAAAAGCAATATTGTATACTAATCTACATCATATGATAAAAGTGTGCACTTTGTAACACCCTTTGGAGCAGAAGTCACTGGGGAGTGATAGAGTGTAATACACACTGGGGGCAATTTAGCAAAACTGGAGCAAACAGAATCTGGAGCAGTTGCCCATGGCAGCCAATCAGCATCTCTTTTCAATTTGCTCAGGTAAGATTTGAAAATGAGAAAAAGAAGATGATTGGCTGCAGTGCAAATCTGCTCCAGTTTTGATCAATTGTTTTCTACATACAGTGGGGGGAATTGAACAGAACCGACTCCCCCAATCCTTGAAGCAGATTGCTCTTTAGCTAAAATTGGGAAATAAAAATAGGCTGAATCAGCATTGAAAGTAAATGTAAATATGGTACAAACATGAGAACTTTATATATTTGTGTTACGAGAATCTCTTTTACATAAAAGGTAATTTGTATAAGGGCCCATTCACAGCACAACACTTGACACGCATGGCGTTAAACATCCCATTTAAAATCTTATTGCAGTGCAAAGGACAGGGCACCATGTTTTGGGCCTCACATGTGTTCTGGATGTATGTTGGGGTGCCGTTTATAACAAACGCATATAACATGCATTACTGAAGCACAGTGGTGATAATTGGTTCTTAAGGTTTACTGTTAATAGCAGGATGAGCATTGAAGTGGGTTATACAAATATTGAACACTGGCACTGCAGGTATCAAGCTTAAAAGATGAACACATGACATGTTGTAATCTATAATATATAATGTTGGGGGGTTTTAAGTAATTTTCCGGCCTAAAATGTGGAATATAACATGGGTACAAAAAATTAAAAAAAGGCCTCAGTCATGAAGGGGTTAATGAACTGGAGTTTCAGTAGAGACAATGATATACTGAAACAGCCAACTTCCACAACTATATTAAACCCTGGGCCCACAGCTTCCCCTCCCACCTGTTCTGATGCAATGACACACACACACTGTTGTTTTGTGAATTATTTTCCGTTATGGATCTGCCAGTCAAATATATCTGATTATCTGAAATAGTTCAGGCACTAATTGGCTAATATTAGTAGGCAATCAGTCATATCTGTGGACCTTGCCAGACCAACGTCAGAGTCATAGTACATTCAGGGGGATGGAAATCAGTGCATCTAGGCTGATAAACCATAAAGTAGAAATGAACAGAGAAAACCCCATTGGTGGTAATGGGGAGTCCAACCACAATGCATGGAACAGTAGATGCATGTCGGGTAAAGGCCGGTAAAGTGTATAACATTTCTGGAGTTCCTCTGAGAACCTAAAACTGAATTAAATCCGCTAAAATAAAAACAGATTTAGTCATTCAATTTGCTCCCAGTCTGCCTAATTACATACAGCTAGTTCATTTGGACACTGAACATCACAATGTTTACAGCTACCTTTTTATCACAGAGCGGGTCTGAATTGTTGTCTGCATATGCTTTGAGAAGATCAACATCCATATTCTATAATATTTCCTACCATGAGAGTGAGCCATCTGCCAATGTCCAATATTGGCTCTGTGTCCCTCCATCATGGGCAGAGGAAATGACACAACATCCCCAGCAGCGAAGACATCAGGAACACTGGTGCGCATGAACTGAGGAAATAAAGACACTTTAGATTAGCACAATTACACAGATCATGAGAAAAGAAAAAAAAGAGACCTCACTGGAAAGCTTCTAGGTATGGCCAAAAGAGATGTTGGCTGGGTTTTTTAGCATCTGCTTTCTAGTACGCTTTGGCCAATAAAGGCAAGCTGAGTTTGGGCCTGCGACATAGGCTTTTTTTTTCCTTAAAGAACTGATTTTCCCTCCATACAATGGGAATGCAAAAACAGTTTTAATGCAGATTAGAAGGAAACATGCAGGTTAAAATGGAGGTCAAAGCAGGTCAAAGTCACCAGTAAAAGATATGACAAAGCTTCTTAAAGTGATCCCAAAAACAATTTGAAGACATTTCACTGTGATCAAAGAAACACCAGGACTCAAACATTTTCTAAATGGCTTATTAAAAATGGACCTAGTGTCAGACATCCTTATCCTTGTAACAGTGTGAGACAGGTTAGTTGTAAACAATATGCAATTACAGAGGACATTGTGCTGTTCTGTTTAGGTCTGCAGTTTCGTCTGTTTTACAGTATTCTGCTTCATTAGTGTAGGTCCCAACTAGGATGAGCAGCTCTTCCTGTTCCTATATCTAGGTCCCTGACACATCGGTGTAAATTAATAATCAAGCACAGGAATGGGTGAGATTTGCTTTCGATGTCAAATTCCTGAAAAACTTCTGTAAGGCCAACAGAATGGAGTGTGCCCAACTACGGTCATAAGGAAATTCTCTGCTATGCCTAAGCTGCAATGATATGCACCTGAGCTGGTCATAGACCACACCGCAGGATCAATTCATTAATTTAAACAGTCATATGTAATCATGATCATTACAATCCGCATTTAGAGCTTGATATTAAACAATGCATTTCGAAAGATCATATGCAAGACCTGAACACTGACTATAGTAACAATCACTAAACACAATAATGCACTGGTATGAACATACCGTATTTTTCCGTCTATAAGACGCCCCCATGTATAGGACGCCCTCCACTTTTCTTACCCAAAATTCAGAAATCAATATTTCCCATGCTCTTTTGCATAACTGATTACATCCAGTTAAAATTTTGCAGAGTAAGACAGCCGCTTACTGGTACCAGTATTTTTTTTGTTTTCCGACATTTTTATGGGCTCCCTGTTGCATCTGGGCACTGGCTACACGCTCTCCGCAGCATCAGCTGACGTCAGGTACATAAGGCTCATGATTGGAGGAAACCTGTTAGCTTGTCTCTGCAATCGGAAGTTTCACTCGTGAGGCTAGTTTGCGGAGGAATCGGCAGTTTCGCAACCGCGGTTCTCCTCTTGGCCCCCTGTGTATAAGACGCCCCTCCATTATTAGGTAAATATTTTTAAGAAAAAGTATAGTCTTATACAAGGAAAAATACAGTATACCTGGTCTACATAGATTGCTCCTCTAGAGTCCACAGCAACTCTGCTTCCTTTTAGAAAACTTGACACAGGTACTGCGCCTATATTTGAAAAATAGTAATAAAAATATGGTAAAACACATAAGCAACAACAATTCTACATTAAGGATACAACTGCACTCTGTTTGAATCTTCACCAAATTCAAGATTTTTTTTTACAATCACCGCAACCCATTGTGGTATAAGGATCCCATGGATCAGCACTTACGCGTTTCATCATCACGGCTTAGTCATAGAATTCTAACTGGGCATGGTAAAGAAACCATATACAAATCCATGGCAAATATATTATCTGTCTTACATTGGTTGCTATTAGTTTTCACATACTTTTTTTTTTTAATTGCTAATTAAGAGTTTTCACACTCTTAATTAGCAATGAGCTTGGGCTTGGTGCAAACCCAGTTTGCCTGTAGAAGAAAAAAATAAAGTCACTGGCGTTCCAATCGGGATACCAATATGTTTTTTATTGATACACATTCACATTATCACAAGGCAGGAGTGCTATGGGATACACACAATAACCCAGTTTGCCCGAGTTCCCACAAGCCTACTCAAAACTGTGACAGACAACCCCTCTGCTGGTCCAATCAGTGCATTCCCTGCCCCTGCTGTGGGGTGGGTATCGC